TATCTAATATCGAATGGAAACTATCAAAACTTGGCAGCATGGAAAATAAAAGCAGATAAATGTTTATCGTATGCAAATCTGTATGGAATTTCAATGGCGACTCTTTCAACAAGTTCAACTCGAATATCATCATCGTTTGGTTTAACTCAACAGTTTAGTCAAGCTTGGTTTGGAACTGCTATTTATAGTTTTCAATATTTTCAAGCTACACAGATATTCAATACAGCTCATCCAATAATATGTTATATACATTTGAAAATCTCTTAACACCGTATGGAAACAGTTGGCAAACAACTGATGTACAAAATGATCCAAATAGCCATTTTTATAGATCAGCAGATATTCATATTTTACACATATGGAGATGGATCGACTTATGGAAATGGAATTTTTACTTTGGTATCCAATGGATAATAATATAAATTAATTAAAATAATGAATATTTTCTTTCAACAATTTTTTCTCAAATTTTGTTTTTTTTATCTCTAAAAGGATTTCGACCAGAGAGAGATCTTTATCATAAGTCCAAATCGATGAGAAAATTGTATTATTGACTATGCAGTGATCAATTCATGTTTAACGTATACAGTTCGATTGATTCTACGTTGATAGAATAGATAATCAAGTAAAGTCACATGTAATTATAAAGACAGTACTTCGAAAATTATGAAAACGTAAGGAATTTTGTACAATCGAATTGATAAGCAAGTAGAGTCTAATGTTTTTTCATTGAAAAAGGAGAACACAACTTTTTTAGATTAATGCTAAGTTTATAAATATGTCTGAAACAGATTGACCTTGTGTTCAGCTAAAAATTACAAGTGTTTCGTGGCTTCGGAAAATGTTAAAAAACGTTTATTTTATTTTATTCTTATGCACTGCTTTCTGCTGCAGTGTAAATTATGGAAATCTTTTACTTTTGGTATGTAGACATTATTTAACATATGCAATCATAGGACGAAGTCAAACGATGTCACGTCTTGTAATCGAAAAATTGACCAAATCAGTCGAATTCTACTACGAAGTCTGCCATGATAAATTTGATTGAATTAGGTATCAGTCACTGTTGAAAATTCTGTTAGGACGTTGTCTTATTAGGAAATGAAAAGTTTGCTTTACTATTTTTTTTGTGAACTCAATTGGAATCAATCCTGAATCATATGGTCGTAGGTTTTTCTGATCAGCATCAGTGTATCAACAATCGATCGTGATTAACGAATTTAAGAAATAGCTGTAGTGCTCTACGAATGTTTCACTTTTATTTATTTATGTTTTCTTTTACTATTATTCTTGTTTATCTTAAAAGTTTCAAACATCATTGATGATTACCCAGGTTGACCAAAACGGACTCGTTTACAGTCTATTTATCGACGGTAAACGATGTCAAAACGGTATATTTACGGCAGTAAATAGGCCATATTTGCTCGTAATACCTGGCACAGTAATACGACACCGTAAACGAGACCGAATTTTCATGTTTTACGGTTGTTTGTGCTCCATACTCTCATGATCATACGGTCCCTATTACTGGGCCAGATATTACGGCAAACTTTCGCCCGGAAAATAGTTGTAAAGTAACCGTAAACGGCCGTATACGAACCGTACTGTTCGACCTGGGTATGATTCACCTGGCGCCAACGATCATATTTCCATTTGATTATTCGCCATAGGCTTCTCACTACCTTCCAGTCAAACAATAATAGGATGGCAATTGTGATGCAACTTGTTATTACAGCTTTTGGTGCCTCGATGGTATTTGTTATCCTTCCGATGATCATCGTCCCCAATATGCCCAAGTCAACAGTATCACTTGCAGCAACTCCAGATCTCACAGCTAAAAAAATATACACAAGTATTATCATCGGAGAGTTAATTATTAATTTAAAGTCACATGGAAAACATCTTATTATTCTCGTACGTATTACATACTATATAAGACACTATTAAGGATTAAGAAATTTTTCTTTGCCTAGAATAGATTTAAGGGATAAGTAACGTACCGAATGAAAATCATATCGAAAAGAATAATGACGATTACTGTTTGTTCTCACACTGTTGTTAAAGTCGTACTCCTTAAAACTGCTTTAAGAATTATGACTATCATGTCCAATTTAGTCCAATGTTCTGAAGAGAGCCAAAATCTTTATCAATGCTTGTATGGAATTGTAACTTTTTCTTAATATTCCATATACATTTGAACATTGAATATACAATTTTATTCTAGAGATTCTTTTGAGAGAATGATCCAATTTGTCGATTGTAAGGTATTAAAGCCATGTAGTTATAAGGAATACGTTTTCGAATAGATCCTATTGTTTCCTGTTGCGGGATTAAACTGTCAGAAAGAGAATAAAACGGTCAAACTTGGGCGTTGCAACCGAATCGGAAACGAAAGGTATATAGTTGCGATTCTGCTCCCTTAAAAACGCGTCGGAACCCTTCTCAGAAACCTTGCCGGAAACGGCAGCGGGATCCTGGCATTTCATCCGATTGCAGGAATCAGCAGGGAAGAAGCCGGAAACGGTCCCAGAATACTCCTTCCATGTTTTCGCCGGAATTTCACCGGAACAAACAGTTTCCCGCCGTACCGTTTGGACCTGGGTCACTTTGTTCCCTAATCCACTCTCCCCCGACGACTCACCGGAGGAGTCCCCGCAAAATAACGAAATCCCTGGGGAGTCCCTGTCATGAGTCCCCGGGGATTTCTCTGGAGAGAACTGATGAAATTTTTCAAAATAAAAAAAAAATTTTTGATTTTTTTAAAATTTAAAAAAATTAGAAGAATTTATTAGTAATAAGATATTTCATCGATTTTGGCCAGAAAATTCCCCGAGGAGTCCCCGAAAAAGAACGAAATCCCTAGGGACTCCCTAGGGATTTTTCTAGGGAGAGTTGACTAGGGTTTTTATCACCAAAGTGTACGCTCTGATTTCTTTGATCTCTGAACCTTAAAAGCCGCATATAGTTTTAAATTAATTAAGTATGATATTTTTTTTTCGCTAGTGATCAAAGCGTTTGTTTCATGAGATAAAAAGTAGCGAAGATTATATTTTGTTTCTAGATTGTGAAAATTGGGCTTTTGTACACTTTGCTGAAAAAAGTATAGTATAATGTACACTTTGCTCATGAAAAATAGTGTACTGTACATTTTGTTTTAGATTTCCATTGGAAACACAGTGGCGGATCTACCAGTTAGGCTATCCGGCGATTGCCACCCCGTCAAGAATTTTTTCAATCTTCTCCAGAAGAAAAAAAAAACAGAAAATAGTCGCTCTGCCTCAACTAGACTTGAAAAACGTTTTTTTGGCCAGGAGCGCCACCCCCTAACAGATTTTATGGATCCGCCACTGGACTGGAAACACTACACTGCTGATGCTGACACTGGTCTGGATGGATGCACCTTCTCACCAATAAGCATTCGACCAATCAACGCTATACCTAACACCATCTATAAGATGTTGAAATACACAATAATTAGTCTTGTGATGATTAATTTTCACTTTCAATATGATATTTTTCATTTCGATTAATTTTAATTATCTATATTAGAATAAAGTCTGATATGGTGCTTTTGCTTGGTTATTATAAAAATCGAATAGAATTCTTGTTGGTAAGACCTCGATATATGATTTATTATTGACCAGGTAAATCGATCGATCTTTTGTGCAGTAAATACTGCGCATTGATCATGCCAAAAGCTAATTCATCATTATCATATACTTCTGCTCATCCACCGATTCCACTTCCTGATCATCATAATCATCCAGTGACACGACGTTCTTCTACAGTACTCAGCGAAGCCTCAAGTCTTCCTCCACCTGCGAATGCTTTGTCGTCGAACATGCATATCGAACATGAAAATGATGATTATCAAAATAAACAAATAATTAGTTTGCCCTTCAATTGGCAGGTAAACAAAAGCAATTTTTGAGATAAGAATTACTCATTATTTTTCGACGTATATATATATATATATGTATTAAATGTAGGCTTCAAAATTTTCTCTCAATGACCGTATATCTGCATTGTGTTTAAATGAATATATGGCTGATGTACATTTTGAATTAAATGACAGTGATGAATTGATTCCTGCACATAAATTTGTTTTAAGTGTTGGTTCTTGCGTATTTGAAGCTATGTTTCAACGAAATAATGAGTCATTATCATCAATAATTCACGTGCCTGATATGGAAACTTATGCATTTCGTACATTACTTCGTTTTTTATATGGTGATTATAATACTCCATCACTATCTATAACACATGATACTGTTATGTCAATATTATATGGTGCAAAAAAATATTGTGTTCTTGGTCTTGAACGTCTTTGTGTGGATTTTTTAAAGAAAAATATCTCAATTGAAAATGCATTGATATTATTAAGTCAAGCACGTTTATTTGATGAAGCACAGCTAGCAGCACAATGTTTAGAAGTTATTGATAAAAATGCTATGTATGCATTACAAACACCTGAATTATTGGATATTGATTTAGATACATTGATGGCAATTTTAAAACGAGATACATTAGGTGTACGAGAAGTAAAATTATGGCAAACATGTGTAGCATGGGCAAAAAATAAATTATCCAATCATCAATCAATCACATCAGACATGATTCGACAAACATTAGGCGGAGCTTTAAAATTAATTCGATTTCCATTAATGACTCAAGAAGAATTTGCACAAGGGCCAGCTCAATCAGGAATTTTAACAGACAAAGAAATTATTTCAATATTTTTGTATTTTAATCTACCAGCAAAATCATATAAACTATGTGATTTTGATGATGAACCACGAAGTACATTCAAAGAGTACATTGTTAATCGATTTCGTGAAGGCGAAGTTGAACATCGTTGGTCTTATTCGGATGCATTTGATAGAATTCGATTTAAATGTGATAGACGTTTATTAATAGCTGGTTATGGACTTTATGGTAGTATTAGAGAACCATTTGAATATAATGTTCATATACAAGTAAATAGAACTTTTTGTGATGTTTATATTCTTTAGCCTTTTATTTTTAATACTATTAGTTACACCATCTTGATTCTGGCCGGATATTAGGTGAAAACGAAACAACATTTATGGCTGATGGATCATCCGCGACATTTCGTGTATCATTTAAAGAGCCATTAGAAATACAACAAGGAGAATATTATGTTGCTAGCGCAAAACTGAAAGTATTAGTCTTTTTTCTTCTTCATCTTGATTCATGATATAGTATAAAATTTAAAAAAATTCCAGGGTCCAGATTCATTTTATGGT